GTAGTTCTGTTACTAGCACCATAAAACATCCCAGATTTCAAATGTTGAAAGTAACTAATGAACAGCTCTCATTTTGTGTTTTAAAATGCTTCCATACTGCAGGCTTGTTTGCATGCTATACACACCATTTTTCAGCATCTATGTAATGTTCATGGCTAATGTGAAACCACAGAGCAGAGAGCGGTTAGGTTATGGAATATTCAACTGGCAGTCCATGGACCCTGCAGGTGACTTCAGTCTGGCCCGCCAAAAAAAAAAAAAACAAAACAAAAAAAACATTATAAAACTATAATAAGTGCTTCCCCTACTGATAATGGTAACCCCAAAAACATGCAAGTTAGGTTAATTATGACCCCCGCACGCAAACAGGATTCATATTGTTTTCATACTGTTTTCTTTTTAATTTAGTTTTTCTTTTTAATAATTTTTCTGAGATTTTTGGTCAACGATAGCACAAAAACAGCTGCGCCAATCGGCATGAAATTTGATAGGAATGTAGAAGTATCCGACCTACATTACGCCTGCCAATAGTTTTACAATAGACCCCATATTTGAGGAGGGTGAATATCTGAGTGTGGGGTGTCTGGACATACAAAAATGCTGATAACTTAAAAACTATTCAACAGAGGAGCTTCAGATTTTTTTAAAATTATTGTTTAGCTCTAATGAAAGGCTATTCATTGGGCCCACCCAAAATAATAAATCCATCCTGGTGACTTCTGAGTTCTGGTGCATTGGTGCTTTAGCCTAGCATATGTGCTATCGCTATGTGGTATCTAGTTAGTAACTCTAAATTGGTGAGCGTGTGGCCGTGGGATGGACTCAGAAGCTGTCTAGGATGTCCCCTGCTTCTCACACAGTGACTGTTGGAGATAGACACTAGTTGTCTGTTACCCCAGAAAGGAAACATGGATAAAGAAAATAGATGGACAGAAGAAAAAAGCTTTGATCAGAACCCCGGTCTAATACTTTCAATCAGCTAAGAACATCCCTAATTGTAAAAGTTATGGTTATTCAAGGTCACTGTTCCCCCAGAAGATTTCCTTGGAGTCAGAATATGTACCCGTGTTATGAAAATATTCTTGCCTATGTGCAGATAACTGCCTTTAAAAATACTGTGAAATTTTCTGTGAGATAAAGATTGCATGACTGTCCAAACAACATGACTGTATTATGATTGTTCATTTCACCAAACATCATTTTATCCTTTGTGACAGCCAATATGAAAAAAAAAAATCCCCACAACATGACAGGTCAAGATCCGTTAGCACAAAAACGTTTTTTTCTTAAGATGTTGGTATTTGTGTTGAACACCGTGCCTCTTGCCCATCAAGCACAACAACACAATGGCCGGGCACAGGCTGAGAGTAGAGCTGATATCAGTGTGGCTGAATTAAACATGGCCCCGGCCTCATAAATACTGCACAGGGCCAGCACTCTGGGGAGTTTATCTGGACCCATCAGAGCTGGAAGCTCCAGTGCTCAGCAGGATAAAAAAAAAAAAGCACAACTACAGCTCGCAGTGTAAATGTTCAGAGATTGGCCGTGCACACGCTAGCAGGGACGTAAGCAGAAGGCCCTCTCACTGCATGCCTCATGAATAGTAATACCCTGCATGAATGCTCTGTTTGCCTGGTAAGTGTTCTTTGTGTACTGGCAAAAGCACACATGTAGTGTGTGTGAAATGGTTTGTATTTCCTGCCAGCTCACTCCAGGTTGCATGCATAATGGCTTTGATACGCGTAGCTTTTTGTGTCAGGCTTTGTGATGAGGCAGAGAGTGCATCCGAGTGACACACACAGAGTGATTCTCTTTTGTAACTTGGAGGTTTATTTATTGGAACTTGCTAACTGGACAAAATTAAGTAAATATTAATTTACAAATTCATTTTTACACATATGCTGGTCTTCAAATTAGTTGAACTTTAGCTGAAACTTGCTGGTTTTTAGCTTTTTAGGTTAACCTACATGCTGTAGAACAGAATATATCTGTCTGTATAATTTTATTACAGTACATTAAATAATAAAAAGGATTATATTATATAATAATTATATATACGTATATATAATACAGTATAATGAATTATAAATTCTCCTAACTGTAATGACAAAAAAGTTGTGTAGAATGTCTTAAAATCAGCCTTTATATGCTTTAAAAGTGAATTCTATTGTTGGTTTGCTCCTGAAGGCAGGATATGTTGTGTTTGCAGACAGTGTAATTTGTGATATCACGAGTGCTTCACGGAGTGAACACATGTGACGTGTCTCAAACTTTATGGCTTTAAACTGCAGCTGACACAAGGTCCAACCATTCACACGGTCAAAAATACTTAAAAACTGGAGAGGACTTTCATATTTATAAGAGAATTATTCATGTGAATTCTGTTTTTAGTTACGAAGCTGTGACAGCAGCACCTGCAGCCACACAGTTAATAAAGGTTGTGGTAATACTGTATGTTACTTATCTTTTTGGTATCTTATTGGTTTTGTTTATTGCAAATGTGCACAAGTTTCATTAACTTCAGTTAATTAATTGAAATTTTAAGTATCTATGTAGTTTTGTTTTTTACACTTTTGCATCCTTTTATATTGGGGTTAATTATTTGCGTTGCACACAAATAACTTTCTTTATCAATTTTTTATTAGTTTATTTTGTTGTTTGCAATGATTTAACTTTTGTTTCTTTGAATTACCAGTTCCTTTGGAACCGTTCACTGTGAACAGACCCAGCTGCAGCAGGTCACAACTCTTCACTGTCACACTATACAAATTATGCTGACTTGTGAAAATTTTGTTATGACTATTTTACTTACTTACCATTTTACTATGTATTCAATCTAGTTGTTAGCATTGCAGTGTGTGTAGGTCCAAACAAAGCTTCTTGTTGATTTTTTGTAAATTCAATCTCCAGCATAGACATTTTTAAAGTTGGACAAACTTTCATAAACTGGTATWATGGGCTCGACAYACKGGCAGCGACAAACGACAGCGATTAACGACTGTCGTTGCAACCAGGGTGAAACCCGAAACATGGGGACACGATAGCGACGACAGCCCTGCAAATCGCGCTCTCGGGTCGCTTGTCTTCATGAAATTTGATTGGTTCTTCCCCTGCTTCTTGTAAAGTAAAGTGAAGGAAACGAATGTAGAGAGAGAGAGAGTGACGTCGCCTCCCGTGTGTTAAAAAAAAATTAAAGAGTGACAGGGCCTTTAGGTCACACAWTGTCAGAAGTTAAACTTTGTAATGTCATAACTGTATTTTGACCAATCTTGTCTCTCTCTCTTGCAAGCTCTTGAGAACCCTCACAGAAATATTAATGCAAAGCAGTGTAACCATATGTGCTTGTATACAGATCCATAAAAATATACGTAAATAACCCACTAAAGTGCCTGTGACATCAATTCTTTTGTAATAAATATGAATGCATTTTTGGAAAGACAACATTGATAACATATTTTTAAAAAAGATTTCACGCTGCTGAGATGAACGGTTGTTGAGATATTTGCATGTGAAGCAACAGGAAGTGATGTCGAATGGGAATGTCTGCATGGAAACACAGCATTGCTACAAAGGCCAACAACCCAGACTGTAGAGAAGAATCTGATGTTTCTTTAGATTATTTTAATCACTATCATAGAGAGATGAGAAAGGGTTATAGTTTAAATAACATTGGTTAAATAAACAAAAACTAGGGAGTTCCCATTCTTAAAAAGTTCCCCTTGTATGTCACTTCCTGTTTCACATTAGCTGAGCCAAATCCAAAAGAAAACATGCCAATTATGTGACATAATGGGTAAAATTGCGTGTTATACGAAGTTTCTTGTACATAAATATATTTTCTTTGACATTTTGTATTTGATGGAAATGCATGTCACTAGCTGCGTTTCCATTGCAAATGTGCGCAAAACTTTGTCGATATTCTATTAATGTCGAAAAAACACACTTTCGCAAGTACAGTGTTTCCATTAAGTAAGAAATGCTRTTAAAGTCACGCGTGAATACATTTGTTCTCATGATAAGTCATTACAAACATGGCGGCGATGGACATAAACACATAACTCGTTGCTACCAAACACTAGCGCTCATCATCAGAGGAGACGTCGGCGTCTTTTATCAAGGCTTTCCAGAGACAAGCCCCTACTTGGGAG